GAACCCAAAAGAACCAGACAACTGCAATAACAACCTTAAGTATGTATGATAATCCTTTGTGCAGTCCTCTCTGTTTTTCGAAACAATTTCATGCAAAAGATAGCGCTTATTAATACTTGTGCAAAACATGTTTAAGATAAGGGTAACACTGGGTCGTCTTAGATTCGACCACAGATCACGAATAATTGCTCAGTAGTCTCGTGCCATAATGCATCGTCACACTGCGAGCAAGTAATGGCTGAAATCGACCATGGCACATTCCTCGATGACGAGATCGACCGTAAGAGAAACGGGTACGATATTGCTGAGAGGCATTGAATAGAAAGTCGTAGGCAGATCTGAAGGTATAGTTCAGAGTGTGTGTACAAAGATGTAAAACTGGGCCTGGAATGAGTTAAACCTAACCCTGTTGCCTCTATCAAAAGTTTGTATGATAGTACATGGTACCCTGAAAGTTAGATAGAAAACACGTTTCACACAGGCTTCCTAGCTCTTTTCAGGCAAGTGACGAAACACTCCGATTTCTCCATAAACCTGATCCTATTCATCTAAAATTGTTGTGGCGTGTAAAGTAAACTTTTAATCTTTGTCCATCTCATACATGATCTTAATTGGTCAAGATTGTTATGTTAATTCTGCTGTTCATTAGTTCTGACTGCATTCAACAATGATGATCGAAAAAGTTATTTGTTGATGCTGTTGCTTTTAAGATAGGAGTCGATAAAATATGAGATAGATCTGCTTTCGTTTCCTTACAGACGTCAGACTTTAATATGAAAGGAGCTCACAACACAGAAGCATTCGTTCATCGGCCAAAATTTGGCACAGATGTCTTGGAACGATCATTACCACTTAAAGGATTCTGATCCATTACGGAACAGTACATTGCTCTGAGAGAATACGGCCAAAAAATACAAATCTGAACAATCTATATACAAATATTGTTATAAATCTCATACTTACATCTAATCATATCTTCCGTGCAAAGATCCAAATTTACCCTCATCTGCATTACGTTTATCGGTCTTTCAGTTTATACCGATGTGTAGCAACCAGTTTTAATCCACTTTATCACATACGATATCTTAGCCATTGATTCAACGTGTTATCTACATTTTTGATCCGTTTATTAACGTGGTGTTTTAACTTTGTTTGTTTTTAATGTTGCGTATTTAGTAAAGAGATGCTGATAGGTTGTTGTCGCCATCGTCGTATCTTCAGCTGTGTAGCAAAACCGCAGATTAGTTACGACTGGCAACACCAATCGTAAGGCAAACAGTACAACAGAAGCAAACTTTGTTACAGAAGTTAGCGCTGATCCAGAGATACAGTGTACGCTGCCAGTGCCAGAGACAAATCGAAGGAAAAAATCTGCAGAGTGGCGGATGTAAACAAAAATGTTAGCCAACGGCCACTGCTCTGCTTACTGAAGATGACCGATTAACGCTAGTTAATCAAAATACCCTCAGTAATTAAAATCATCGCCGTGCGTGAACAGTCAGTCACGGGGAGCCAAAAGTAAAATTTATAATCACAACGGAAGAATGCCTAAGGATGCTAAAGATTTGTTTATCCTTATATTATTGTCTGGCAGTGAATACACAGCTACTTGAACAGTGACAGTCAGTCAGAATTGACAAAAGCAAAAAAGTGCGTTTTCAATTCAATGGCTGAAAGCAAAAACAGCTTTACTGAAAAAGCAGCGCTTCGAAAACCATGACTGACGATGTCGTTCGTTAGGAGTAACAAAGACAGTCACAAGCATCAGCTCCTGTCGACTTTTGACCTTTTCGTACCTAGGAGTCTTCGCCTTCAAGACGAATTGCATTTCTTAGATTTGCCTTTGCTGTGTCAAAAACAACTTCACTGCCAGAGAGGAGAAAAACACCTGAGTCTAAAGCCGAATCGCCAGCACGGAGTTCGCCTGAGAACCCTGCACGCTCAACGTCGCCTCACCCAGTCACTTTCTCTCGAAAGCAAAAGAAATAAAAATGTCGTACTGGTTTTTCAGGCATCACTGAATCGTTTTTAGCTGAACGACGACGA